CTTGCGGGGGGCCCTCACGGCCTCGGCCATGGCCCCGCGCTGCGCCCCCGCCCGACGCGGCGGCTCGGGGCAGTGCCGGAAGGGGCGGGTCCCTAGGCGCGCATCAGCCAATCAGCAGCGCGGCGGGGACGGGAGGGACGGAGGGACATACCGCGTCGCCCGCGGCCGCGGCCTTGGCTGGGGAGTGGGGGGGAGGTCGGGCTCTTCTGTAAGGGTCGGTGGAGGGGTCAGGCTTCTCCACAGGGGCCTGGGAGGAGACCAAGGTCTCGTATAAGGCGCTGTAGGAGGCCAGCCTCCTCTTTAAGGGCTTGGGAGGAGGCCTGTGTGTTCTAGAACGAACTGTGGGGAGTTCAGCCTTCTCCATAGGAGCCTGTGAGGAGGCCAGGCTCCCCAATAAGGGGCTGTGAGAAGGTCGTGCTTCTCTGTAGAGGCCTGGGAGGAGGCCAGGCTTCCCTATAAGTATCTATGGGGAGGCCAGGCTTCTCCTTAGGGAGGCCAGGCTTCTCCATAGGAGCCTGGGAGGAGGCCAGACTCCTCTCTAAGGATCTAGGGGGACAACAGTCTCCTTCAGAGGGGCTTGGGGTTAGGTGCCGGGAGGGTTAAGGCTCACCTATAAGGATGGGCAAGGAGGCCAGGCTCCTCCATAGGGGCCTGTGGGGAGATCAGGCATCCCTTTAAGGAGCTGTGAGGAGGTCACGCTCCTCTACAGAGGCCTGGGAGGAGGCCAGGGTCTCCTATAAGTATCTATGGGGCGGCCAGGCTTCTCCATAGGAGCCTGGGAAGAGGCCAGATTCCTCTCTAAGGATCTAGGGGACAACAGTCTCCTCCAGAGGGGCTTGGGGTTAGGTGCCGGGAGGGGTAAGGTTCACCTATAAGGATGGGCAAGGAGGCCAGGCTCCTCCACAGGGGCTTGTGGGGAGATCAGGCTCCCCTGTAAGGAGTTGTGAAGAGGTCATGCTTCTCCACAGAGGCCTGGGAAGAGGTCAGGCTCCCCTATAAGGATCTAGGGGGACGACAATCTCCTCCATAGGGGCTTGGGGGTAGAGGGAAGGGGAGGGAAGGAGGGTAGGAGTGGGCAGGCTCACCTATAAGGATGGGCAAGGAGGCCAAGCTCCTGCATAGGGGCCTGTGGGGAGATCAGGCTCCCCTGTAAGGATCTGTGGGGATGTCAGCCTCCTCCGCTAGGGCCTGGGAGGAGGCCAAGTTCCCCTGCAAGGAGGCCAGGCTTCCCTGTGAGGACCTGGGGGGAGGCTGGGCTCCCCTGTCTAACCTGTGGGCTTAGAGTTCTTAATAGAAGCTTGGGAGGAAGTCAGGCTGCCCCATAAGGATCTATGGGGAGGTCGGGCTCCCCTGTAAGGACCTGTGGGGAGGCCAGACTGCTGCTAGAGGGAATGTGAGGTGAGAAGTGAAGACCCCACTGTTCAGCTGGGGAGTGTGAGGTTTCTTCTGCCTGCACTGTAGCAGGACCTGGAAGCACCGTTGGAGCAGATAGCCTGCCCTGCTGTGCCTGAGGTCCCGCCAGCCACAGCAGGGCTGCTGGCTCAGCCTGGGGGCCAGGCACCACTGCCCCTTCTCATCCTGGCCCAGGCACCCAGCCGTCCCCAGGGAACCCTGGCTGGAACCGAGTCCAAGCCTCACTGCAAGCAGAAGTGACTTCTCCCAGTCCCCAGATGAGTGAACCCTCACAGAGCTCAGGCCCACCTTGCAGAACACATCATAGTCAAGGAGTCAAGATCTTCAAGGATCTTGAACAGGCCATATCTGCTCTACCAGACCTTGTACTTGGGGCTTGAGAAGCATGCTACCCCACGGTACCAGCCCTTGCCACATCTGCTTGACCTTGCCTAGAATGCAGCAAGACATAGTCTCATGTGAACATCTTTCAGGAACGCAGCTGTTTTCTTCTAAGTAATTTATATATTACCTTGAAGGAGAGCTCTGTTGGATTCTGCCTGAAGATGGGGTACCCAACGTCTGAAGGGATGTGAGAATTACTTGCTATCTATTCCTCTTCTTATTCTGTCTTACTATAGCAGTTGTCTTATTAAGGCGTTTGTTGTATCTCTCTCCCTGTGGGGCGCGTGGGAAGGGACAACAGAGGACATCTGCATCCAGAAAAGCCTAGTATCATCTGTTGTGCTCAGTCAGCTGAAAAATCCTAATAAAGAAACCACACAATGTATTGTTGCAAGAGAGACCCCATCTGGAGTACTGCATCCAGCTTTGGAGTCCCCAGCAGAAGTAGGACGTGGACCTGTTGGAGTGGGGCCAGAGGAGGCCACAGAGATGCTGGGAGGGCTGGAGCCCCTCTGCTGTGAGGACAGGCTGAGAGAGTTGGCGGGGTTCAGCCTGGAGAAGGCTGTGGGGAGACCTTAGGGCCCGTTCCAGTATCACAGGAGGGCCTGCAAGAAAGCTGGGGAGGGACTTCTTACGAAGGGATAGGACAAGGGGTAATGGCTTCAAACTGAAAGAGTGAAGAGTTAGATTAGGTCTCAGGAAGAAATTTTTCACTCTGAGGGTGGTGAGAGCCTGTCCCAGGTTGCCCAGAGAAGCTGTGGCTGCCCCATCTTTGGAGGGGTTGAAGGCCAGGTTGGAGGGGCTTGGAGCAACGTGGTCTGGTGGGAGGTGTCCCTGCCCAGGGCAGGGGGATGAAACTCAATGATCTCTTAAGGTTCCTTCCAGCCCAAACCATACTATGATTCTGTGGTTGTAGAGTAGATAACTCTCCCAGGGGAAAAGCCCTGTGTGGTCTGTAGCTCGTGGCTAATCACAAGGACTTGTTCTCGTGCCAGCCTTTCCTGGTGTGATCTCTTCCAAGTACTGAGGAAGGATAAGCTCTTCTAGGCTTCCCTCCAGGAGAGGCAACTCACACCACCTGAACAACCTAGACTGCTTTGAAGGTGTACCAGCCCCAGCCCAGACAGAAAGGGAATGTGTCAACCTTAAAAAAAAAAAAAACAACACACATATCCAGCACAGGAGTCTCAAAACTTATTTTTAAAATATGTATTTAAAGAATTAAGACTACAGCAGGCTCCTTCAGATGAATATTTGTACGCTTGGTCTTTCAGAAAAGAAATAGGATAACTGATTCCCTGACCTGCACTTTGCATGGTTCATTCTAATGCAGCAGGACAGATGTTAAAGCTCACCATGATCTGCTCTGCACAAGGAAATACAGTGAAAGCCCTGGGGACCGGTGGGCTTAGTTGCACACCGAAGTCACACAGATTCAGTCTGAAGAACATCATACAACTAGCAACTTCCCATTGCTCAAAAATTAGCCGCCTGGCAGGACCTTTAGACAGCAAAACTGCGTCCTCGTCCCCAAGTCCTGCGTCCCTGCGCCCCATATCATGAGGCACTGCGGAGCTGTTAAGCAGCGTTGCACACAGGGACTTCAGAGAGACCAGCAGCCCTGAGGCACGTGAGTTCTGAATCAAAGCCATACATGAGTATGGTTGTTACATATGGTAACAAGAAGGGCATGAACTCTGAGGAGACCTGGTCAGGAAATGAGTTTCATGGCTCCAGGCCAACGTTAGTAGCTAAGTTTGTTTCCAGTGGTGCGTAGCCAGAATGAATCCAAGTTTGGGGCTTCCCAGAAGTTAATCAAATGGGGGTCTCCAGAGCCTAGCAGGGACGAGCTATACCATGAGCCAGCCTAAAAAGCCACGAGCCCCTCACTGGAGAGGCGGTTAGAAGAGTCGACCGACTTCTTCAGATCCCCAACAATGCTATAAGGTGCAGGACTTCCCAGCAGGTTTGTGGTGGCTCTTAAGCCTGGAGCACATCTACAGCTAAGCCAGACGCACTGCGTAACGGTTGGAGCTTCTCTGAGTAAGCTCCCTGACAGACGTGACTGAAATTAAATCTAAATTACAAGTTTAATCCCCATTAACGAAAGACTTAAGAAACAGGCAGGAAGTGTAACCTGAGGTCCGAGCGGGGTACGTAAGCCCTGAGCACAAGCCAGCGTGCCCAAAGCATCGTGCAGCGCTCCCCTCGGCGCATACGATGGAGGCTCCAGCCTCTCCCAGACGGCTGCGCTTCAAGTCAAAAACTTCTTCCAACACAGAAGGTGGCCCTGTGTCAGAGTCCATCACTCACATTCCTCTCCTTCCCCTGGGTGTGAAGGTGGGGTATCCATCCGAGCAGTTCGCTGATCAAAGGCACAGGTTTTTAGTAGGCACATTCTGAATGTACAAAGAATTATCAGAGCTTGCAAATATTTTCTTAAAACGGAGAAGCACTTCAGCTCTGTGTGGCTGGGAATAACTGGAAACGCCAACTCTGCCACAGGGCCCAGACCAACAGTGTCTTCTGCCTGGAGAACCTACAGAACAGGATTGACAACGTCTAAACCACAGCTCCAGCTCAGACAAGCGACGGGGAGGGCTGGCGTGATCCTCACTCCCAGTTGATCACCTCAAAATGCCATCCCTGAACCAGTAGCCTTTCTTTTCCCACCCTCTGTGTAGCTGCATCTCATATTAAATCATTTCTTCACTAAATGGGAGTACTTACTGTGGCTATTAGTGATGTATCAAGCTGTAGCCATCAACTGTGGCGTAATCAGGCTCGCCTGAAACACAGAGGGCAAAAAAATTAGGTCAGCTCATGAGAAGTGCTCGCTACGAGATGCTCCATGGGACAGAAACACCATGCTTTGGCCACCCGTATTAAAGGGATGGGAGTCAGGGGTGAATGAAGCCCAAAGAGATGACTTGACTTGCCCAAAAAGCCAAAGCAGGACCTCATTTTACCAAGTCCCGCTGCAGTATCCCATCACTGCCATGGCACTGGGAATGATACAGCCCATGCTGCTGAAGCAGAGGAGGGCCTGAACTGCAGAGACTGTTGGGATTCCAAGCTTAGACATCCTTAAGCTTCAGAAATGCCAGCACGGAAGGCTTTGATCAGATCTCCTCCTGGCTGAAATTTTGCCTCCAAAGTCAGCACGCAGCTTCCCAGCATGTTTCAGTGGGAATCAGACTTACAGCACAAGCCTCACCTAAAGCAGTCCCTTTAGAGAGCTAAAGATCACGACCTGATGGGGCAGAGCAAGAGCAGCACGATCCTCTGTGGGGTCAGAAGCCCCACAAAGCAACTCACTCACCTGGTGCGCTGGTCGGGGTGGGTAGAGGTCCCCTCCTGCACAGAAGGAAACACAGAGCTGAGGATCTGCATGGCCACAGGACTCCTGTGACCCTGTGTCTGCGCTCCCCAGCTGCCTCCCAGAGGAGGTTCGGCTTTATGGAGACCTGGTACCAAGGCATGTCATGGTGGGCTCACCACCAACACCCTGCTAGGCGAACACGGGAATGGAAGCTGATATGGTGGGCAAGAGGAAAAAGTAACCAAGGGGCACTAGGTTGAGGAAACATTCACAAGCAAGCTTGAGGGCATGCCTTTTTACATGCCTCTGCCCAGAGTGAGACATCAGGAAGCCATAATTGGGCATGACTCCTCTCCCAGTGTGACAGCCAAAGCGGCACACTCATCTTTAGCAGGAGTCTTTAGCCCTGAGTCCTCATCTTCCCCCCAGCAGAAGCATCCTTCACCCTGTCCTCCCTGCCCTCTCCCAGAGGAGTGAATTCAGCTCTGCTGTTCCACACTCCCCACGCTTTTAACTGATCCATCTCTCCTCAGGTAGACAGACGACATGGAGAGCCACGCAGGGAAGCCCAGAAGGTTTCAACTGGTTATCAAAGGCTGCTCTGAAAGGGAGCTCAGATTTTTCCCAGAGAGAGCAAGGCGTGAAGCTCAGGATTCCCCCAGGCTCTCCTGCGTTCCTGCTGTCTGAGTACTGCAGCTCCTCACCAAAATGCACAGGACTTCTCGAAGACGCTCAGTAGAAATAAAAATTAGCATACCCTCACAAGCACTTTCAGAATAATATTCCCATCAGTGAGAAGGGAGAAATGACCCCAAAAGGGGGAACAGAAACCTCTGACTGGGCTTGAGGGAGTCCTTGGAGATCTTCTAATAGGCAGCACATTGGCATAACTCCTGCTGTAGAGGGTGCTGGACCACGTAGCTGGGGAAATATTTTCCTCTAATACTCCCAAATCAAGCCTCCAACAGGTTGAAAGTGACAAAAAAATGGCTTTTTTTTTTTTTTTTTTGGAGGGCATCATTTGCAATACCAATTATAATTGTACAGGTAATATGCCTTACCTTGATATAGCTACAGGAACTGGGCTTCTCACAGGAGTTGCATTTCTCTGTGTGTTATAGTAGTTTTCATAAGCAACAGGAGCTAGGAAAAGTTAACAGTAGTAAAGTACAGACCTTTTTATAAGCACAAACCACTTCCCAAGCCCCCCATTCAGCTGCTAAGTCTTTCCTCTCTCTGGGGAAATGCCTGACCGGGACATTAAAAGTTACAGAAAAGGGGAGATTTTCTTCAGGAGCTGGTGATAAGTGGCAGAGACTAGTGCTGCCTGCCAGTGAATTAAAGGAAGAACGTTGCAAAATCAATGATTTTTTGCATCCAGACTGATGCTGGTCAGAGCAGGGGCTCCATGGGGAGCACAAGGAAGTCAGCGCTACTTTCTGAGACAGCACCAAGCTCTTACCTGGGGCCGAACTTCCAGTTTTGCGTAAATTGACAAAAAAATCAATATCCTTCTCAATGCTGCACATTTCTAAACTCCTGCGGACTTCCTCGTATTTCTGCAAAAGGGAAATGAAAAGCATTTCAAAACATCAGGTGAAAAAACAAGAGGTTTTTTCCCAATTGTTTATTACACACGGGGTGGAAGCCCAGCGCTCACCCAGGACACAGCTTCAATCGTAAGGGGAATCACAGAAACATAGAATGGTTTGGGTTGGAAGGGACCTTTAAAGGTCAGCTAGTCCAACGGCCCTGCCATGAGCAGGGACATGTCCAACCAGATCAGGTTGCTTAGAGCCCCATCCAAACTGACCTGGAATGTTTCCAGGGATGGGGCATCTAACACCTCTGTGGGCAACCTGGGGTAGTGTCTCACCACCCTCAAAAAATGTGGGAATCTCAGAGGAGACCTCATCTGCAAGAGCTCTGGCCAAAACCTTCTGCCTGCATGTTCATGCTGGTGTCTGGTGGCCCATCAAAGGCCACAACCCAACTCAGACACAACACAGCTCAGTGCAGAGGAAAGAGAATTGGTCTCTGCTTTCTGAATAGAAAAATGAAGATTTTCATTTGACGTACCTCGTCCTTCCGGACACAGTCCAGGGAGAGGTGGTTGACGTGAAGCCAGAGGGCGTTGCGGAAGTAGCTGATCCGCTCACTCTCCTGAGTCTCAAAGAACTGTAATGACACAGACAAAACCGCCCTAATGTCTTTAAAATGAGAGCAAAGCTCTTTTGTCCTGAATATTTCTCATGCCCAAGTGCCACTACAAAGACAACTGTCCTCAGGGAGGAGCAGGAGGTGGTGGTCTCCTGTAGGAAACATGGAAACCATGAGCCCTCCAGCTTGTCTGGAGGAGAAGTCATCCACCTATGCAACCAGCTATTTCAAAGATGAAAGTTAAGCTTGGGAAGGTCTGCAGGACTGATGTGGAAGAGGTCATCTGGCAAACCAGTCCCTCTGATTAGGAAACTGACCAAGCCAGCTTCCTAAATGCAGCGCGCATTCCCTAGGCATCTCAAGGTCCTGGGCTTCCGGCTCACTTCCCTCTCACAGGTACAGAGCAATAAAAAAGCTCTGAGGACGCATAAAACCTGAGGTGCATCAACTGGTCTTCTCCTTCTTTCCTGCCCAGCCCTTTCCAAAGCAGTTTTAAACCCAAGTCTTCCGAAATCTGGTGTGTAGTTTACCTCAACTTCATGTGCTTTAATGCATTTCCATGAAAGATAACCTTTTATCCGACCTGTACGTATGCGCTTGTTGTCAGTTACGGCCTCTGCAACACCACAAGAGGAAAACCTCCACGTGATCCATCTGCAGAACTGAAACTACCCACACCCCACCACCAGAGAGGCTTTAGGAGACCCCAGACACCAAAAGCAGACCAGCACTGAGACACCAACACACGCCGCAAGAAGCGGACAGCAAATTCCATTTCCAAAGGAAAAAGCAAAAGGGAGGCCTGAGGAGAAATAGCTTGGGAAGGGATTGGCATGGCTGGGGACGGGAGAAACTTCTGCAAGCTTGCAGCAGGCCCGGGATGAAACCTGGACCTCTGCAGTCCCTTGTCCATCCCTTGATCACAGATCACGGGTGGCTGCAAGACAGAGGTCAGCAGCAGAGCCGCTGCGTGGTCCTCTCACCACCAGCTCCAGACTTCCCCAGCACGTGCGAAAAATCCTTGCTAGATCCCCTGGTGATGAGCCATCCTGCTTTAGGCCAATCCAACCCCTCGGAGGGGTTCCCACGCTAGCGTGTGGTCCGTCAGATGCAAGTGGAAGGGTTCCTGGTGCATGGGAAACTACCAGACCACATCCCCAGCCCGACAGCAGCCCCTGCTGCAAAGTCATCTGAAGTCTTTCAGAACCTCAAGAGTCTGCCGGCTGGTGGTGCAGCCACAGCACGAATTGGTCTCCGCTCACTGGGTGTGCAGAGGTGGCCGTGGCTGTGACTGTTCCTGATGGCCACACCAAGCGTGCAGGCAGGCAATCAGCAAAGAATGTCACCACTTGGTGCATCGACTCTGCCGATTTTCAACGGTGGTGGAAGAAAACAAATAGAAATAAAAATACAGCGGTGGGAGCTTGTGAAGAAGCCAAGTGTGAGACACACATAACGTGAGTTGCAACACATCCTGCTCCTTCACTGCCAGGGGAACACAGAGAGGGCAAATCTGCACTCCCTCTGACACTCGCAGCAAGGGATGGACATCCAGAGGACCGCATTGCCACCTAAAGGTGTTTCAGGGCATTTACCTCGCAAGCTTTGATGTGCTCTTTCTGCCATTCTTCCCGGATCTTCTCCAGCGTGGTGACGCTCTGCTGGTAACTCCTGTCTGTGAGATAAATCACATTGCCATCTGATTAACATTAAGTAAAAAAAAAAACCTCTTTGGTAGAAGGTGATGTGTGAAGTCCAACGTGGACGTCAGGGAGCTAGGAGCAGTGATGTGTGAGCTTGACTCAGGGGACTCTGAGCCACACAGCAAGGCGGAGGGTCATGTCATGGGGAAATGGTGGGACTAGCTTGATGGGGCCATGGAGGCTTCTTCAGGGTAAGTACCCACCTCCAATATCTTGGGGATACAATCAAAGAATGATAGAATGGTTTGGGGGTGAAGGAACCCTAAAGACCATCCAGTTCCAACCAGGGGAAGGAACCCTAAACACCATCCAGTTCCAACGCCCCTACCATGGGCAGGGACACACACAACTAGACCACATTGCTCAAAGGGCTATCCAAACTTGAACCCCTCCAGGGATGGGGCAGCCACAGCTTCTCTGGGCAACCTGGACCAGTGTGTCACAAGCCTGACCCAAGAGCTGGATCTTGCCCAAGAGTCGTGCCATGGCTTCACAAAATCCTGCCCCAGGAAGCAGTCCCCTTGCCCTCCAAACACTGCATTTCCACACTCACCAGAGTCCTCCAGAGCTGATTTTGTCTGAGCCAGCTTCAGGAACAGCTGCCAAAAATGGGAGAGAGAAGAAAGGTAGTGGAGAGCCCTGGTGCGTCTCTGGCAGCACCGCAGCCCAAGTGAGGAACATCACCAGCCCTCCCGTCTCACCCCAAAACCCAGAGCTGGGAGAAGAGCCATGGGGCAAGAAGAGACGCCTCTTTCACCCCTGCCCCATGGCCACCTTGCCCCTCGTACCTTCTCCTGCTGCTTCTGTGTCACCAGGTTTGCGTTGCGGTGCACGGCCTGTTCCGCCTCGTCCTTATCCCTGCAGCGCTGCTCGTAGAGCCGCTTGGCCTAGGAGAGACACCGCACGCGACAGGAGCGCGTCAGAAAGCAATGAGATGCAAATACAGCTCACAAGGGAGGCTTTGGAGGAAAGTACAGCCTATGAGTGAAGAGGTGGGTACAGGCTGCCAGCAGAACAGGGGACAGCACGCACAGTCCCAGATCAGAGGGCTGGAGCACCTCTGCTAGGAAGACAGGCTGAGAGAGTTGGGGGGTTCAGCCTGGAGAAAAGAAGGCTCCAGGGAGACCTCAGAGCCCCTTCCAGTCTATAAAGGGGCTACAGGAGAGATCGGGAGGGACTCTTCATCAGGGAGGTTAGCAACAGGAGTGCTTTAATGCATTTCCATGAAAGATAACCTTTTATCCGACCTGTACGTATGCGCTTGTTGTCAGTTACGGCCTCTGCAACACCACAAGAGGAAAACCTCCACGTGATCCATCTGCAGAACTGAAACTACCCACACCCCACCACCAGAGAGGCTTTAGGAGACCCCAGACACCAAAAGCAGACCAGCACTGAGACACCAACACACGCCGCAAGAAGCGGACAGCAAATTCCATTTCCAAAGGAAAAAGCAAAAGGGAGGCCTGAGGAGAAATAGCTTGGGAAGGGATTGGCATGGCTGGGGACGGGAGAAACTTCTGCAAGCTTGCAGCAGGCCCGGGATGAAACCTGGACCTCTGCAGTCCCTTGTCCATCCCTTGATCACAGATCACGGGTGGCTGCAAGACAGAGGTCAGCAGCAGAGCCGCTGCGTGGTCCTCTCACCACCAGCTCCAGACTTCCCCAGCACGTGCGAAAAATCCTTGCTAGATCCCCTGGTGATGAGCCATCCTGCTTTAGGCCAATCCAACCCCTCGGAGGGGTTCCCACGCTAGCGTGTGGTCCGTCAGATGCAAGTGGAAGGGTTCCTGGTGCATGGGAAACTACCAGACCACATCCCCAGCCCGACAGCAGCCCCTGCTGCAAAGTCATCTGAAGTCTTTCAGAACCTCAAGAGTCTGCCGGCTGGTGGTGCAGCCACAGCACGAATTGGTCTCCGCTCACTGGGTGTGCAGAGGTGGCCGTGGCTGTGACTGTTCCTGATGGCCACACCAAGCGTGCAGGCAGGCAATCAGCAAAGAATGTCACCACTTGGTGCATCGACTCTGCCGATTTTCAACGGTGGTGGAAGAAAACAAATAGAAATAAAAATACAGCGGTGGGAGCTCGAGTCCAGAAGCCAAGTGGGGGACACACATAACATGAGTTGAAACACATCCTGCTCCTTCACTGCCAGGGGAACACAGAGAGGGCAAACCTGCACTCCCTCTGACACTCGCAGCAAGGGATGGACATCCAGAGGACCGCATTGCCACCTAAAGGTGTTTCAGGGCATTTACCTCGCAAGCTTTGATGTGCTCTTTCTGCCATTCTTCCCGGATCTTCTCCAGCGTGGTGACGCTCTGCTGGTAACTCCTGTCTGTGAGATAAATCACATTGCCATCTGATTAACATTAAGTAAAAAAAAAAACCTCTTTGGTAGAAGGTGATGTGTGAAGTCCAACGTGGACGTCAGGGAGCTAGGAGCAGTGATGTGTGAGCTTGACTCAGGGGACTCTGAGCCACACAGCAAGGTGGAGGGTCATGTCATGGGGAAATGGTGGGACTAGCTTGATGGGGCCATGGAGGCTTCTTCAGGGTAAGTACCCACCTCCAATATCTTGGGGATACAATCAAAGAATGATAGAATGGTTTGGGGGTGAAGGAACCCTAAAGACCATCCAGTTCCAACACCCCTACCATGGGCAGGGACACACGCAACCAGACCACGTTGCTCAAAGGCCTATCCAAACTTGAACCCCTCCAGGAATGGGGCAGCCACAGCTTCTCTGGGCAACCTGGACCAGCGTGTCACAAGCCTGACCCAAGAGCTGGATCTTGCCCAAGAGTCGTGCCATGGCTTCACAAAATCCTGCCCCAGGAACCAGTCCCCTCACCCTCCAAATGCTGCATTTCCACACTCACCAGAGTCCTCCAGAGCTGATTTTGTCTGAGCCAGCTTCAGGAACAGCTGCCAAAAATGGGAGAGAGAAGAAAGGTAGTGGAGAGCCCTGGTGCGTCTCTGGCAGCACCGCAGCCCAAGTGAGGAACATCACCAGCCCTCCCGTCTCACCCCATGGTAGTGGAGAGCCCTGGTGCGTCTCTGACAGCACTGCAGCCCAAGTGGGGAACATCACCAGCCCTCCCGTCTCACCCCAAAACCCAGAGCTGGGAGAAGAGCCATGGGGCAAGAAGAGACGCCTCTTTCACCCCTGCCCCATGGCCACCTTGCCCCTCGTACCTTCTCCTGCTGCTTCTGTGTCACCAGGTTTGCGTTGCGGTGCACGGCCTGTTCCGCCTCGTCCTTATCCCTGCAGCGCTGCTCGTAGAGCCGCTTGGCCTAGGAGAGACACCAAACGGGACAGGAGCGCGTCAGAAAGCAACGAGATGCAAATAGAGCTCACAGGGGAGGCTTTGGAGGAAAGCACAGCCTATGAGTGAAGAGGTGGGTGCAGGCTGCCAGCAGAACAGGGGACAGCACGCACAGTCCCAGATCAGAGGGCTGGAGCACCTCTGCTAGGAAGGTCCCAGATCAGAGGGCTGGAGTACCTCTGCTAGGAAGACAGGCTGAGAGAGTTCCAGGGTTCAGCCTGGAGAAGAGAAGGCTCTGGGGAGACCTTCAAGCCCCTTCCAGTCCCTCAAGGGGCTCCAGGAAAGCTGGGGAGGGACTCTGGATCAGGGAGGGGAGCCATAGGACGAGGGGGAAGGGTTTGACACTGAAAGAGGGGAGATGGAGATGAGATGTGGGGAAGAACTTGTTTGGTGTGAGGGTGGTGAGAGCCTGGCCCAGGTTGCCCAGAGAAGCTGTGGCTGCCCCATCCCTGGAGGGGTTCAAGGCCAGGCTGGATGGGGCTTTGATCAACCTGGTCTGGTGGGAGGTGTCCCTGCCCAGGGCAGGGGGTTGGAACTGGATGATCTTTAAGGTCCCTTCCAACCCAAAGCATTCTATGATTCTATGAGATGCCCTACTGCTTGGGCAAAACCAACCTCACAAGACAAGCTGCTCTTCTTTTGGGATGAAAAGTTCATGGCAATCGAATCCATGACATCTAAATCACTCGTATCCAACCCTGCAGGGCTACCACCAGTCTGGCGTACCCTTCAGATTTTCTGAGCACACCCTGCATAACCCTCGTGCAGACAGAAGGTCAAGAGTTGCAGCAGAGGAGGAAGACCCTCGCGTTTAACTCCGCCCCAGCACCGTGTGTGTGGGGATGCATTAGCAGCACAAAACCACATGGTAAGCAACAGCAGCATGGTTGGTCTACCTCCATGGTCTTCTTGTACTGCAGATTCCTGTTTTTGTGAATCGCCTCCATTAACAGCTCTATCTGTGAAGACAACAGACCCAGAGTCAGCATATCACTGACCATCGAAGCACAGGATGGACTATGTGGCTCAGGAAAGGAAGAGACATGGACCAGATTGAGATTTAAGTGTTTAAGCACCTTCATCCACCCAAAGCATCTTCACAAAACACATCTTATATGCTTCTATCTTTTATCTATAACTATATGCTTCTTCTTCTACCTATATGTCTTATATGCCTCCACGTGTATGAAAAGGAGCTCTACAAATTAATTCCTAGTAATATATAGCACTGTTTCAAATCCGTAGGATCTGGCAAAATTTGGAAGCCCATTCCCCTCTGCTAGGTCCACACCAGCCCCTGGCTCTAACAGTTTTCCCTCATTTTCCAGACAAAGGAATCTCAGGCCATGAGTTAATAAGTTTTAGCAGACCATATGGAGATACTACAGCACCATATATACACTTTAAAAACATCCCTGGTTGAGGCTGGCATCCCTAGAGCTCAGCCTCTGCTGTAACTGGCCCCAAAATGCCCCCAGAGGAGAAGACACGGCAGTGAGAAGAAGGAAGCTGGAGGTTGCCCCACAGTTCACCGACACGGTTGCAACATGTAGGAAGGAGCTGGGGACCTCGAGGCAGCAGGGGCACGGAGGGGGCTGGGCTTGGCAGGAGACACTGGCCATGAGGAGCCCATCACCAGGGCAGGATCGACACCCCATGGAGAAGAGACGTGTTCCCACAGCGCCTGACCTTTTTCCGATGCAGTTTCTGCTTTTCCCTGAAGTCCTCCATTTTCTTTGCTTCCTCCCGCAGGGTTTGTGCCAGCTGGATGTGACCTTGCCCCACATTGTCTATCTCTGCAAAGACAAAACAATTAAATATATATATATATAATTATGCAGTGGTTTGGGTTGGAAGGGACCTTAAAGATCATCCAGTTCCAACCCCCTGCCCTGGGCAGGGACACCTCCCACCAGACCAGGAGGCTCAAAGCCCCCTCCAACCTGGCCTTGACCCCCTCCAGGGATGGGGCAGCCACAGCTTCTCTGGGCACCCTGGGCCAGGCTCTCACCCCCCTCACAGCAAAGAAGTTCTTCCCCACATCTCATCTCCATCTCCCCTCTTTCAGGGTCAAACCCTTCCCCCTCATCCTATGCCTCCCCTCCCTGATCCAGAGTCCCTCCCCAGCTTTCCTGGAGCCCCTTGAGGGACTGGAAGGGGCTTGAAGGTCTCCCCAGAGTCTTTTCTTCTCCAGGCTGAACACAGCAGAGGGGCTCCAGCCCTTGGAGCATCTTTGTGGCCTCGTCTAGACCCGCTCCAACAGGTCCATGTCCTTCCTGTGCTGAGGACTCCAGAGCTGGATGCAGTACTCCAGTACTCATCTCTCACAAGAGCTGAGTAGAGCAGTAGAATCATACATGTGTATATATATATACTCTATATATATTTACTTTAAAAGACTCTGCTGCTCAAGTCAGCTTTGCAGCTGACATCAAACCGACCCCATACCATACACCTCTTTGCAGAAACATGCAAAAGCACCAGCTCTTTTAAAGTGTAGAAAGAAGCAGCCTCCAACCACCACTTGGCTAAGTAAGGGTCTATTCAGAACCAGTCCTGCCGGGGCCTGCCCTTCAGTTTAAGAAAAATCCCATCAAGAGGAGTTATTCAAACGAGCACGGTCACGTCCACCCCTCGTCCAGATGAATTCAGGCACGTCCCACACATCACACCCTGCAGCAGCTGGCTGAAGGAAGCATTGGCCCCGGCTAGCAGACAACCAGCTCGGGGCGCAGAGAAAAAAATAACACTAAAATAACTCACTAATAAACCACTAAAAGTACTCATCTTGGTGAAGGCGAGTGGCCACACCATGAAACACCCCCCCATCCAGCACGTCATGGGAGCTAGGCCAAACTGCAGCTCACAATGCAACCCCCAGGGCTTGTTTTGCACCCGCAGCTATTAATAGTCAGCTGCTACGAGGGCTGAGGCTTGTTATGGAGGTCCACCAAGGGACAGGGCTGCAGACAAACCCGGCTGGGGTGGAGGGTGGACACGGCATGGGACAGCAGAGCGCTGGCCCTCGAGGTAGGGCACTGCCTGCCTGTACCCCAGCGGGCTGTGCAACATGGCGTTGAAGGGACAATGTAAAGTGGCCAGAACATCGTCTTTTAGATGGCCCAATTAGAATCATAGAATCGCTTAAACTGCAAAAAAAACTTCAAGATCATCAAGTCCAACAGCTAACCTAGCAGTGCCAAGTCCAACACTAACCCATGTCCCTCAGCACCACATCTGCCTGGCTTTTAAATACCTCCAGGGATGGTGACTCCACCACTGCCCTGGGCAGCCTCTTCCAAGGCTTGACAACCCTTTCCATGAAGACATTTTTCCTAATATCCATCCTAAACCTCCCCTGGTGCAACTTGAGGCCGTTTCCTCTTGTCCCATTGCCTGTTCCTTGGGAGAAGAGACCGACCCCCCTTGGCTACCCCCTCCTTTCAGGGAGTTGGAGAGAGCAAGAAGGTCTCCCCTCAGCCTCCTTTTCTCCAGGCTGAACACCCCCAGCTCCCTCAGCCTCTCCTCACAAGACTTGTGCTCCAGACCCCTCACCAGCTCCATTGACCTTCTCTGGACACGCTCCAGCACCTCAATGTCTTTTTGTGGTGAGGGGCCCCAAACTGGGTACAGCACTAGAGGTGCAAATTGCTGCTTATATGTGTGAAGAGGGCAAGGCGGGACAGTCCAACGAACTCCAGATGAGCTTCCCACACACAGCTTCTGAGGTACAATGCAATGTTCTGAGCTGCAGCCAGCCCCAAAAACCCAAGAGATCCCTAAAGGGATGCCCCATGGGTCTCCTCTCCCACCCATGCCCTGGAGCACTCTGTCCCAAACCCTGTGTGCCAAACTGAGCCAGTCCAGGACGACAGCCTGTGCCTGACCCTAGCACCCCACTGTTTTGGAGGTTTCTCTGCTATCTTCTTCCCAAGCAGTTGCCTGCAGGCTTTGGTGCTGGCAAGTGTCCAAACATAAAGAAGAGGAATCACTTACGTTGCTTGAAAACATCCAGGGATCTCTTCAGCGTGCTGAAAAACAGGCAGAGCATTAAAAAGAGTGGGCAAGCATGGCCCTGTCAGTGCAGGCATCAGCAGAGCACCTCTCCCAAACCACACACCAGGTCCCTCACTCAGTGTTGGCCAAAGCAGCTTGAAGCAGGTTTATTTACCCTCTTGACACCTCCAGCTTTTTCCCTGTAGGCCAGCATAACACCGCTCACTTGGTTTGAGACCTACTTTACATCTTTCTGAACACTGGATGCTGTTAAAAATTCTGATTTTCATGACAAATGTTTAAGGCAACCTCCAAAAAGCATCATTTGGGACACATGAACACCTCCTGCATGGTGCGTTGGCCAGCGGTTGGAAGTGTAAGGGACTTTTTTTCTTCCTATTAATATTGCGCAGTAAAGATTTAAGAAACTTTTATGTGACACCTTAATATAAAACTAAATAAATGATCAGAGAATATAAGACTGGGCGTGTATAAAGTATAGAAACAAAGCATGTGCCAAGGGTCCCCAGGGAAATGGAGACCCACTCAAGGAGCCAACCACAGCAGCCAGAGCATCCCTTCAGGGTGATAACATGCTGGGCTTTCAAAATTTGCTTAGTTTGAGTCAAGGAAGTACCTGCACTTCTCTCCGGCCACAAAAACAGTCAGGAGAGACTCCAAGGTCTCTCCTGAACCACCTCTGCTGAACCACCAGCCCACATCTCCCCTGAGCATCCACGATACTTTGGTTAGTCTACGGCTGGTGGGAACTTGGTGGAGTTCAATTATTGGCAATGAATTGTGCATTGTTCATTCACAAGATTGATTTCAGATCATCTTCCAGCAGCATCTCAATCACGTTTCAACACTGTTTTGTCTCTCACACCCTCCTTCCTGATCCTCCTCCTTCGTTGCCCCAGGTAAGGATAACACATAAAAGCAAAATACACACAGGTCTCTGAACTTACTTCAGCTCCGTTTGCCCGCAGGGCTTCTTCTTAGACAAGTTAATCAGCTCTTTGCCATATTTTTCTTCTATAATTGCCCTGTTGAGGAAAGAGAGAAATGAGAGGAAGTTCTCATTTCAGATACTTGTTCGCAGCAAAGGCCAAGACCCACTCTTAACACCTGCCTCATCTTCTGCCCTGCTGCAGACCAACTGTAGATGGTTGGCTGAAGGAACGCTGTTGGTTGCCATTGCCCTTCTAGTGAAAACAATTTGTTTTGCTGTGTCTGTGGTCCCAATGTGTTGCTTTCCCCATGGCCAAGGGGTGCAAGGACCACCTCGACAAGGGATCACAGAATCATAGAAAGGTTTGGGTAGAAGGGACCTTGAAGATCATCTCATTCCAACCCCCTGCCCTGGGCAGGGACACCTCCCACCAGACCAGGCTGATCAAAGCCCCGTCCAACCTGGCCTTGAGCCCCTCTAGGGACGGGGCAGACACAGCTTCTCTGGGTCTCCCAGCAAAGAATTTCTTCCTCATATCTCATCTCAGTCTCCCCTCTTTCAGTTTAAAGCTGTTCCCCCTCATCTTATGGCTCCCTTCCCTGGTCAAGAGTCCCTCCCCGTCTCTCCTGTATCTCCTTTAGGGACTGGAAGGGGGTCTAAGGTCTCCTCCCACAGAGCCTTTTTTTCTCCAGGCTGAAGCCCCCCAACTCTCTCAGCCTGTCCTCACAGCAGAGGGGCTCCAGTCCTCGGAGCATCTTTGTAGCCTCCTCTGGACCCGCTCCAACAGGTCCATGTCCTTCCTGTGCTGAGGAGATGGAGGGCTAAGCAGCCAGTGCAGCTGGTAGCTAGATGCATCAGGTGAGTCACCTGTGTAGGTTTGAGGTCAGTTTCCCATGGGAACAAGGCTTGTGAGATCACACGTTTTTGGCATCTTGGCCATCAGTGTCTGTCAGTCCATCCACAAAAAGAACTTTTGAATCTGATTTGGCTGAATTTAAACCAAATATGACAGAAGGGAGCCACCAAAGACAACTCAGCCACCAGACATGCACCCCAAGGCTAAGCTGGGCCATTTCATTTTAAAAAGAGGCAATAGGAACTCTCTTCTGGCCACCTCTGGTTCTCAGGGAGAACACCTGAAGAAGAAGCCACATCTTGTGAGGTAACATAAATAATGCCCTCGAGAGGTCATATTGTCCTCCCCTCTTGGAAGAAAGAGTAAGGATGGAAAGAAAGGCTTTGTGTTATAGTCTAAGAAGTCTGTGCAGACAAGCAGGACTGGACTTGCTGGGCCAAATGTAGGTATGTCCATCTGGCCCCAGTTGTCTGCAGTCAGTAGAGAGAAACGAGTACTGCTAGAGTCTTGCATTAGAAGGTCTACTGGATAAAATAAATAGCTTCCTAAATGCCCAGATCTCTAATGCAGATGCCTATGTTGTTGACTGCTAGTTTGGCAATGGGGTTCACTTGACTTAACTCCTTAAAAACTCCAAAAGCTCGTCAGGAAATGGAAAAAATAAACTCTTTTTTTTTCCCCTCTAACAACATTTCCATGAACTTCCTTTGGAGATAGAGGATCAAAACCAACAGGCGTGTTCTCCACGGCTGGGACTGTGGAACAGCTGTGCTGTACATGGAGAACTGAGCCATGTTCAGGACAGGGTGCCAGTAGCAAGTCCAGGTCCAGCTTCTGTATCTCCTTATGGGTAGACACGTCGGTGGGAATCTACACCTCCTTCAACAGCAAAGAGGAACAGGGCACAGGGTTTGGAGGAAGCTTTTTGCACTCTCTCAGTTGCCATGGCTGAGTGGGGCACAGTTCTCAGGGTTCAGTAGATAGTTCCTCGGGCAGCTGGAAAGCTCAGATTTTCCTGGAACATGAGATTACAGCCTAGACGGATGTAGGTTCATTAGACACTTAACTACAGGTTCTCCTCCTCTTCATCCCCATTACACTTGCTCCAGGCTGTTTTGTACCAAGTCTTATTTACATAGGTTTGTTTTCTCCAGTTCTCAATACCAAAATCACATTAATACAGGGTTGTTCTACAGCGATCTTCATATTTAGCCACTGTCAAACCGGAACCATAAATGGCCAGACCATCTCACTCGTACCTTTTTAGCCACAGAATCTCTACTGAGGTCATTTCCTCTGATTAATAAATGTGCTATCTAATACGACTATTTCTTTCTAACATAAAATCTGTGGTCTCTCCATAATGTACAAACACAAATTCAGGACAAAGCCGTGCCCCTCCTTTGCCAAGGTCTTCACCTGATCTTCTGCAAGGTGAACTTCATGGGAGAGCGTGTGGCCTGGGCAGGCCACCAACAGCTGCAAACACATCAGTACAGATATCTGGCAGCATGTAAAGCTGAATTATTAAACTACTCCTGATTTCTCTTTCTTTTAAGCAGATGGTTCAAAATGTGAGCATCAAGCCCTGAGCATCATTGCTGCCTCACAGCTGAGGACTGCTGGACATGGACTTCATACTGCAGCACCGGCCGTGCAAGGAGAGGGCAGTGTCAGAAAATGAGTTCCTCATCAGTCAAGAATCAAAGGTGTTTTGAGGCAGTGGACAGTTAAACGCAACAGAAACCAAAGTGGGACTACAAGGAGTAGAAGCAGAGCCACCACCTCACTTCCCAGGCTCAACCCAACCCATTTTCAGAGGCAGCTCCTTACCTTTCCTTCAGAAAGTCTTCAAACTCTTTGCAGTTCTTCCTGCCGTCATTCAGATGTTGAATGATGCTGTCGTAGCCAACTGTGCTCGTCAGATCCGTACTCTGAAAACACAAGAACAGGAGTCTCATCCCTGTCAGTGAAGTCCACATCCACTGCCACCTCTAGTGGTGTTTGCACTAAGCGACTGCTCAGCAAGTGTGCAAGTGCCTCTCTATGAACTAAGAGCTTTTTCTTTCAGGGGTGGGAGAGGCTCCAGAATTAGAACATTGGTGGCAATTTGGGACCAAGCACTTCCACAAATTCCAGAAAAACAAAAGAACTCAGTCCTACCACATCCTATTGCTCACCCTTGGACTAAGTACAGCTGGCCCCATGGCTTAAGTACAGCTGGCCCTATGGCACACAGCATCTCCTCCTAGGACTTAGCTGTTAGCTCTAACTTAATGAAATAAAACACTAAAAGCACTCCAAGTCTCTAGATATAGCCCATCTTACTACTGCTCCTCACAGTTTCTGCAGACGAGGAGATGGTTAGCATTGACCTAAGTAGATCCTCCCCCGCCACTGCTCTATGCCCTCCAATACATCTCACAGGGCCATCTTCTTCACTCCCACCAAAACACCTCAGCCATGGAGAGGTCCTGCCTCCATCACCCACAGGGCCAAATCCCATCTTCCAGCCCAGCCCTACAGTGCCACTCACACTTCCCACAGACTTCTGAAGGACCAATGCTTTCCTTCAAATTACTTCTTAAAAAGATATATTGTACTGATGCTTTCTTAAAAAAAAAAAACAACAACAACAAAACACAAAAGAAAGAAAAGATACATACAGCAATGATGTAGGACAACAATTGACTAACTCTACCCTAAAAGCATCTTAGGACACAAAAAAAAATGGATTTTTGCCCTATGGCTATAGAGGATTTACCACCTTGGAGACCCGGGACAAAAGCAGGACTCACAAGAGCTATGACAATACGAAGAGAAGCTCTGACCATGAGCTCTCCTTCTCCAGAAGAAGCCTGAAGCAGATACAGGGCCCCGAGCAGAAGGTGCAACCTATTGTTTTCTGTAGAGAGGACCAGCTGGTGTTGCATGGAACAGGACATAGAATCATAGAATCATCTAGGTTGGAAGGGACCTTCAAGATCATCTAGTCCAACCATCAACCCAACACTGACAAAAAAGCCATCACTAAACCATGTTCCTGAGGAACATATCAACACATCTTTTGAACACCTCCAGGAATGGTGCCTCAACCACTTCCTTGGGCAGCCCATTCCGATGCTTGATAACCCTTTCCATGTAAAATTTTTTCCTAATATCCAATCTGAACCTCCCCTGGCACAACTTGAGGCCATTTCCTCTTGTCCCATGGCCTGTTCCTTGGGAGAAGAGACCAACCTCCCCTGGCTACACCCTCCTTTCAGGGAGTTGGAGAGAGTGAGAAGGTCTCCCCTCAGCCTCCTTTTCTCCAGGCTGAACACCCCCAGCTCCCTCAGCCTCTCCTCACAAGACTTGTGCTCCAGACCCCTCACCAGCTCCGGTGCCCTTCTCTAGACACGCTGCAGCACCTCAATGTCTTTTTTGTGGTGAGGGGCCCCAAACTGGACCCAGCACTCGAGGTGGGGCCTCACCAGCAGCAAAAAATCAGAGGGAAAGAGGCTGCAGAAAGGAAGCAACGGTAGGAGCAGATATGAAACTCGGGGCAAGGAAGCAAAAGCCACAACCTTGAGGCTGAAGCCTGAAGAAGAATAACATCAGGAGGGAGAAATTCAGGAAATGGCTTAGCGCCAGGATGAGAGGAGGCAGAGAACTGGTGTGAACGGGCGGGTGGCAGGGGTGGGGGGGATTTCTCAGGAGTTTGTACCCGGTGCAAGAAATGGGGAAGAACAGGGCTGGTATTTGCGATAAATGAAAGGATTTAATCATGTGGCCTTCCCTGAGCAGCCAAGGACTTGGGCGATGGTGGCCACAAAACAAAAAAGCGAAGTGGAGATACGGTGGAGCGGGACCTGCAGGAAATCCCCGGGTGTCTCAGAGCAGCTTTGCTCCAGCCAGGGCAACGCACGGTCAGAGAGGACTGCGAGAAGGACCCAGGCAGAAGCCAAGAGCACAAACGTCCTTCCAAAATGAGCTTATTACTGATAATCCCACGATGCTAGTTCTGGGTTTGTGTTGCGTCTTTGCTCATCGGGGCCTGGGGAAAAGGAAATGTGGTCACCCTGAAGGCAGTTGCAAAATGCAGGAACATCCTGTTCAACTTTCTACTCCCGGTTTCAAGGAAATAAAATGGATTCGGAGAATGGGTCTCAGTGCCCGGAAGCCTGGGCAGGACAGAGAACCCAAACTCCTCCATCCCTCTCTGCTGGCTGGGGTGATGGGGCTCGCTGTGCCAGGCAGGAGTGCCAGGGAAAAACTGGGAGCATCCATCAGAAGTGCTCACTAAGCTCTTGTCCTGGTTTGAGCAACACAGGAAGACTCTAGTGTCTGAATTTGTGAAAATATTCACTTTATATCCAGCTCTGGGGTGTGGGTTTCAAGGTCTCCATGTTTTTGAGCCTTGCCAGGTGTGGGGATGAGGAGGAGCGAGACCCAGGCACTTGACCCAAGCTGCCAACAGGACTATTTCATACCATGAATGTCACATGCAATATAAATTATATAGTTTGCTGCGTAGTGCTCTCTCTCTCCCTTGATGATGGTGGTCCAAAGAACTACCTGCCCCAATGCTGGACCCCTGAGCCCTAACCTTCCCCCTGAAGCTGCAGTGCTCGCAGGGTCCCACATTGGCTGTCCCTGCCAGGAGTGAACAGCTTCTGCTGATGGAACAGGCCTGGGTGTAGTCCTTCTGTATTTTATATTGGTATCCGGATCAATAATGGTCATTTAGTGTTATTAAAGTTAATTATTTAGTCTTATTCTACTCAATCTATTTGTACTCCAACCCTCAGGTTTCTTTGTTTTTCCTCAGTTCCCCTTCCCGTGCGGGGAAGGCTCATCAGGTGATGGAATAATTAATTGTCTAAACAACAATAAATTGCTGTGGGTTCCTCAAACCACAACAGCTCTTTATTTCATCACTCTTCCTCCTCCGGTAGAAGGATTTAATTCCAGCACGCGTGTGTTTCCTACGGGCCCAAGGCTGGACCAGACCCCACAGAGCAAGGTGTTGTACGAAATACCGCGGGGTAACAGAGATGGTGGAGGTTTCCAAAAGAGCTGTTGCCAGGCAGGAGGAGCTCCTGGCCCAGGAGAAGCTAGGCAGGGTTGTGTACCATGAGACCAGCCTTCATAGCAGCCTTCTGAGCAGATGTTGGTGGAAAGAATAAAGAGGACCAGTGTGACTCCCCCTGGGAACATCCCAAATTCAGGGCTGGCCATGAAAAAGAAAGGGCAACACGGCCACCAGAGAGCCATGAGCAGAGAGAACAAGATTTAAAGATACACTAAACTAAGCCAAAGAGAGGTGTGGGGGGATGGGGAGTGGCACCAAGCTCTCCCCAAAAAGAGGGATGTGGGACAAGGAGCACCTCTCCTCCCAACCTGCAGCAGGCGGCTGTCCTGGTCCTCCCTGCTGGGCAGAGATGTGAGCCTGCCTGATATTTGAGGACAACCCCAAGGAAACTACAAACAGATGATTTTTCAAGCTGACAAAGCAGCAGCTGATGCTTCTGGAGGCCACAGGGATCAGCAGCATGCGCCCCCCGTCCCAAGTCACTGCCTGGGTTTGTGCCATCCTCCTGAGAGAGAAGGAATTGGTGTGCTTGGGGAGATGCTTTGGGTTTTGTTTGTGCTTTTAGCCAAAAGAGGGACCAAAACGCTTGAGTGGGGATCTGAGGTCATGTTAGTACTTAAAGTCTTATTTTCAAAAATCACTTGACCGGACCAGCCCTGCTGAGAGCCAGCAGATCTCAATCTTCTCTCCTCCCAACCTGCAGCAGGCGGCTGTCCTGGTCCTCCCTGCTGGGCAGAGATGTGAGCCTGCCTGCTATTTGAGGACAACCCCAAGGAAACTACAAACAGATGATTTTTCAAGCTGACAAAGCAGCAGCTGATGCTTCTGGAGGCCACAGGGATCAGCAGCATGCGCCCCCCGTCCCAAGTCACTGCCTGGGTTTGTGCCATCCTCCTGAGAGAGAAGGAATTGGTGTGCTTGGGGAGATGCTTTGGGTTTTGTTTGTGCTTTTAGCCAAAAGAGGGACCAAAACGCTTGAGTGGGGATCTGAGGTCATGTTATGACCTTGTGTGAGTCACAGCTGAAAGGAAAGCTGCTGAGCTTGACATTTACATCTCTTAGACCACTTTACGTGGAGAAGCCCCTCCAGACACACAAAGCCAATGACATGGGAGAATCACAAAATCATTTAGGTTGGAAAAGACCTTTAAGATCATCAAGTCCTACAGTTAACCTAGCAGTGCCAAGTCCAACACTCAACCATGTCCCTTAGCACCACATCTACACGTCTTTTAAGTACCTTCAGGGATGGCGATTCCAATGCTTCCCTGCTGCTCCAAGGCTTGACATCCCTTTCCGTGAAGAATTTTTTCCTAATACCCATCCTAAACCTCCCCTGGTGCAACTTGAGGCCATTTCCTCTTGTCCCATCGCCTGTTCCTTGGGAGAAGAGACCGACCCCCCCTGGCTACTCCCTCCTTTCAGGGAGTTGGAGAGAGCGAGAAGGTCTCCCCTCAGCCTCCTTTTCTCCAGGCTGAACACCCTCAGCTCCCTCAGCCGCTCCTCACAAGACTTGTGCTCCAGACCCCTCACCAGCTCCGTTGCCCTTCTCTGGACATGCTCCAGCCCCTCAATGTCTTTCCAGTCCTGAGGGGCCCAAAACTGGACCCAGCACTCAAGGTGGGGCCTCCCCAGTGCCCAGTACAGGGGGACAGTCACCTCCCAAGTCCTACTCACCACACTGACACAGGCCAGGATGCTGATGGCCTTCTTGGCCACCTGGGCACGCTGCTGGGTCATGCTCAGCCGACAATCGACCAACACCCCCAGGTCCTTTTCAGCCGGGCAGCTCCAGCCATGGAGTTGGTGTGACCCAAGTGCAGAACCCAGCACTTGGCCTTGTTGAACCTCATCCCATTGACCTCAGCCCATCCAGCCAGTCCACATCCCTCTGCAGAGCCTTCCTGCCCTCCAGCAGTCTGTCCCCAGCCTTCCCAAAAATGAAAGGTTTGAGGCACTGCAGTGCTCGTGCACCATAGCTTGAAAGATTTCTATTTATACAGAGCTCTTAGTGTCTCTCCTCAGCCTTATCTGCCTAGAGATACGCAGCTGAAGCTGGATGACTATTTCAGTAGTTGGAGACACCATGCAACAATAAATAACTGTGCTATTCTTGCTCCCAGTCAGTACAGC